CACCAATACATAAAGTTATGCACATTCAGAAAATTCTAACAAGAAAGGAGGAAAGTAGGGGATGGTGGTGGGTAAAGTTTATCTTGTATATACTAAAATCTGTGATCAGATAAAACAATACAAAACTTTACAAGTTGAAATAAAATTGACCTTGACCGTACGAACCTTGTTCCGCCATTTTCTTTTATCAGCTTCTGAATAGGAGCTGCTGCGTCATTTGTATTTATAGTGATCTAATTATAGCAACATATCAATGCGCGCATGTAACCTGTCGGACCGCATCACTCATACCCCAACAAGAATAAATCCCGCGCGGAGCGTAAAGATAAGACATTACGTCTTGCGTCGTGAATTATATAAACACGGACATTATTACAAATATTTCATTCATGAATAAATGTGTATGAATACATATGCTATATAGTATGAATACAACATATTACAAACAATACATTCAAATATATATTATATTATCTGAATACTTTTAATTGAGCAAATTATGCCTAAATAAATCGACCCTGTTACACGTGCACTCTTACCTTGATCTAATCCGCTGATGATTAAATGTATACGACCATACGCAAGGAAATTGTATAGAAACGTATAGTATTGAAGAACATTATTGTGATAAAAAGAAAACATATATATTACTCTTATTATTTATTCTTTTTCTGTGTCCTGAATCAAATATAAAAACAAATTTACGATATATGTAGGCCTATATGTACAGAAAAGTAATAGCGACAATACGGACAAACCACAGCGCTTCTAACAAGATATAATCATGAAACATTGTTTTTATCACAAACATGTTTATGTCAATAAATGAGAAACAGAGGAAAACAGGTAAAACTGATTAAACAAAAGGAGAAATAAAAAGCTCAGACTGCGTGCCATTTGATTGTGTGGAGTTATCTACGATGGTGAACCGATACCCCGTCGCTGTGCCTCACGCTAAACAGGAAGTGACTAGGGACATACTCCATACCGCCATACCAACGAGGCCACATACCGCAATATCATCAGTGAAACAGGTACATTGCTTGTATTGAGTATCTCTGTGACCTTATTGTGATCATGACGTTTTTATTGTTACTACATGGTATGTTATACAGATAATTCGTCTCACAATTTAAGAAAATAGTCACATATCAGCATGAATTGATGATTCACATTCATTCTCAAAACGAAAGTAGAAAATGTCAATACATTCAATATACTGAGAGCAGATACGATGTAACAGCTTGATTAACTTTAAAACATGTAGACAATCGTTGGAGCTGAAAACCTACTGGATGCATAATTCACAGGTAATCTGACTAGAGAAATAATTACCAAATCATGAATTAATTAAGCGACTGATGATATGTTATTGACAATGCATAGTTCATTTAATGTGTCATTAGTCATTGACCTTATTGTAATAAGCATTAAGTATAACAGGAGTGATTTGCCAATCTCGATATTTGATATAAATATAACACAGACATAATTTTACCGATCGAAGTGACATTAACTTTCACTTTCTCTTTCACTTTCTGTTCTCTGAATTTGCTGAATTTCTGAAATTGACGACTTCTCGGATGAATGTATAATCATTGTTATTGATGTATTTTATTCAACATCACAATAATTTAATGAGTTTTCCTTCAGATGTCCATGGCAAGTCGTGATGATAATGCTACCTTTTGCTAAGTGTTTTTTTATCGACTTTTTATCTAATGGTCCTGTAGTGGAGTAAGCAGTGTTGACTTTGATATACGTGCGTTTAGTCTCGTTCAACCAGACTCTTGTTGCCTGCGCAAACTACGCCAAATGGAGAGTCTGGTCAAACCCAGTGCTTTCGTTTTGTGACATCATAACGAGGCTTACCGAGATTCTGGTAATTTTTTTCATTGGTCAAAGGTTGACACATCGTTTTTAACGTTTGAAGCCAGAATTTGAGTGGCCCAAAATTACATTAAATATTTTAATTCATTAAAAAATTACCTGTATATGCATTCCTGAAGTTTCCATGTTTTCACTATTATTAAGAAAAATGTAAGGAAATGCTTCAAAAAGAATGATTTCATGTATTTTCATTGGATATTTTACAATAATTCATGAAGCTAACAAGGCTATTGATACAAGTCAAGCCAGATTACCTGAGTGAGAACTTGAAGGTGTTTTGAATGGTGTACAGGTAAAATCTCACTTGCTTTGCATGCTTTTTTCAAACTTCAGTCAGCCTTGTTGGCTTTGTGCTTAGCTATGATTTATTCAATGGAAATATATGGCATTATTCTGGAGATTTGACACATTTTCTTACATTGTTCTCGATAAAAGTGAATACACGGGTACTTCAGGAATGCATGTATAGGTAACTTTTTATTCATTAATTTCATTATTCATTGAAATGTTTAATGGCATTGACATAACGTCCGGAAACGAAAGTAGAACTACTGCCCTCTGGAGGTGATAATGTTAGTGCACTCTGTTTGACCAGACTCTTGAATAACAAGTGATCAAGCGTCTGGTTGAACGAGACTAACGTGCGTTAGGATCGGAGAAACCACTAAGAATGGAGTTCTAAAGAACATTGGTTGTCTACGTCACATTTTATATTGTTTCGGTATGCTTGCGGATTATTAACAGTTATTAACAGATATGAACTGGTTCCTTTCAATGTTATTCACAATAGGGTATGAACAAATATTTGACCTTGATACACTTTCAAGGTTACAAAGGTCAAATATTTAACACATCTCAAATTTCTTTACACCATTATATTTCGAAAATTGTTTCAGTATTTAGCATTATATTTTGGTACGGTATGGAGGGCATGAAACTGCAGATTTTTCTCGGGAATCATTTTCGTCTCAAGAGGTGACTTCCGGTTTTCTGAAGGGGTAACATTTCAACTACACTATGTTAGGTCTCATGATTTACTTAAGAAACATTTTTCTGTCAAAGGTCAACTTTCGGTTTTCGAGAGGGGTCAAATTTCGAATGTGCTGTTTCAAGTTAACACCTTTAAGAAACTTCTTCTACAAGGTCTAGAATATTGATATTTGATCTGTATCAATGACCACAGTAAAAATAGAAAAGAACGTGACCCGAACAAACAAGTTTACAACACAACACGTGACTCTCTTACGACGCGCGGCCAAAATATAACGATACGGATGGCTGATTTCCGGCGCATACGGACATGTATATATAAATCGTAAAGTATACAAAATATCATTTTAACGTACATAATATAAAATAATGGCACTATCACATTTAGTACATTTTGATAGTGAACTATCCAGAATTCCTTGTTTGATAAAATCTTTTATCTTCTGCAGTAAAGTGTACTAATTGTTTTATCTACACAAGATATCATTCTGAGTATTGTTCAATCAGAACGGTGCTTTCTCTTCACTGCGAAGTTTCAAGTTCAGATGAAGCGACGGCAAAATAAGTGTCTGTTTTGTTCCACTTTTGCAACTTATATTATGGCATTGACAAAACTTGATTCATGATTCAATTTATTTCCGTAAGTTTTACAACTTATAGGATTTTTTCAACAAATAATTTCATATAAGTACAACATATAATTACACATTACTGTCACATTCATCACAAATCAGCAGCAACAACAACATCATCGAAATCAAAATTCATCGCTCTCATCATCATCATCATCATCATCATCATCGTCGTGGCCGTCGTCGTCGTCTTATAACTCATCATCATGAAAAAATCATCTCTTNCATCATCATCCGTCAAAGTACAACAACATGAAATAATTACCATTTTAACATGAATTTCATAAAACTGGTACATTTTTCACAAATCAACGATATTATTAAAATCATTACCACTTTCATCATCATCATCATCATCATCATCATCATCATCATCATCATCATCATCATCATCATCATCATCATCATCATCATCATCAAAATATCAACATCATCGAAAACATCTATATCATCATCATCATCATCATCATCATCATCATCATCATCAACAACAACAAAAAACAACATTGAGCATTTACCATGAAAGATTGTACGAACAAAACATGGACATGATACAATTGAGTAATACAAAATTAGGTAAAACAAACTTTTAAGTTAAACAATCCTTCGTTTGATAGCTTCAATATTAAATTTACCTTACAAATTCAGTTCTTTTACATTGTGTGTATTTACTAATTCGATAAGTTTGAATACGGTTGGTTTTTGCCAGTAATATTTTTTAATATATTTTCTCCTTAGATCTAGATGACGTAGGCAGGTAAAACTACACCATTGATATCATTTTTGTTTGGAAATCCTACAAGATAACAGCAGCATCGGCAAAACTGTATTGAGAGCCCATTCAAAATCGCTCTGCATTGATGTCAAGCGTGACGTCATTAAAACCTGGCGTAAAATAGTACGCTACAAATTCACGTACTTTTTTGATGTAGCATTTTTGCGTCGCGTCGCTTTAAAATTTGTCATACAAAGAAACTTTCATTGTTTTCCCGGTGACCACTAGATGTGTATTTCACCCGTTTTAAACAAATATGTAATAACAATGATAAAACAAGCGTTATGGCGGAGTGTTTTTTCGTAGAAGACTCGAACGGTAATGACATCTTTCACAAGTATCCTTCACCAGATATTAACATTGTATATAAAATTTAATTAAAAACGGGCTATGACTTACACTTTAATCCATAAGACAGTTGATCATTTATTTAAAAGTGCATTATCAAATAAAGTTTCCGACAGGTATAAATGATATTTTTCGTACATCATGTACTGTATCTTCTCTCAGGAGATGATGCTAGTACCGAATTGTTGACCAATACTGTTACCAAAAGTGCAGCATGTGAGGATCTTGAGCGTGAACAGAATATTCTGAATGCTTAATTTAATGCCCTTAATACTCGTAGGACAAATTCAAGTGTGTAGGATCTGTTCCTCGTGGTTGTTGGACTGTCAGTAAGTGATTTTATCTGAAGATTTAGTGTCAAGCAGCTATGCTTTGTGTAACTTGCTATAATTCCGGCTTGTGTATTGAAATACATCATTGAACATAGGATCGACGACTTCTGTAACCTGATCTAGAGACATCTGTAGTGAACGTGATTGACTGGTAACAATTGTACTGTATGCATTCCTCTCTTAATCTCTCAACTACAGCCTGCTCAGGATCGCTATCGTAATATAAACCAATCACGCTGCCGTTAATAGCTGTCTTTGTGAGGTTTCTTCAGTTCTGATGCTTTGGTCTGATGTTTGTTGTATATTGTACTTTTGAGCTTGTTAGCCTGTGAATTTGGTTTGTCTGTTCAGGTTTCGAGTCTTTGCAAGCTTTAATTAAGAATTGTCCCTCACGTCAACGCCTGACAAGTTTGTACTGGAACGGCCAATAGTCATAATGTTATGGGCACTTTCTCACTTACCAGCCTCCCATGGTTTTGTCTCTACTTGTCGTCACTCCAATATTACCTATGTAAACAGCTAACAGCGGGGGTAAACCTTGAGGAGGAACCTCTAATACGACAAAATGGGTGACGTTTTTAACGAGGGAAATCCTAGGGCAATATTAACAGTTGTCAGTTCAACAAAAAAAAAATATGTGCAAAACCTTTCTGAAAATACTGCTTACATATGTAATCTTGTTTGGTTATCACAGCTGTGGGAACCAACAATCCTGTCTTCCGCTACTTCGTTGCGTCTACCGCCATTGCTATTCTGTTGTGTAGCCGTGATAATACATTCATAGTATCACTTTTAAATCTGCACCAATCAAATGAACAACCAGCATCGAGCCTAGAAACAGAAAAGCTATATGATATTATCCCACAGCAATGAATCGTTCATACCAATTATCCCTGTTGCTAACATGTGAAGTCAAAACAAGTACTATGTACATACGAGCCTTATTAACTTGCAATGTCATAATTCTTCTAGCTCAAACTTTGATACACGAAAGTGAACGGACAACTTAAGGCATTTAATAAAGAAGCCTGATAATTTCGTTATTATGGCATACCCTAATGTAATGTCCAGTCTGTTTACATGTGTTAAATCTTGGGCACATGGCTTCGATAGTAAACCTTTTATAGGGCACAAAGCCACCGTACAGATGTGTGGTAAACAGAACGTCCAAACTGTTACATTGATCAATCCCTTTCCCTATGTCATTGACAGACGATGCTTTCCTATGCTCTGTACATGATGATTGAAACCTTAGTACACTGAAAGGAACATTAATTCTGAACTACCACAATAAATCTTAAATACATATTTAAGTCATTTGAATTGGGGAATATCATCGCTTCGTCAGGCTATATAATTTAGAATGTAGCTACACTGACATAGTGTACATTATACATGTATTACACTTTGTTTCTCGGAGGTTAATCATGTTTCACGAGGGCTCGAAACCACAATAGGTTGGGGTGGCTGTTGCCGATTTTTCTAGAGAAGCTTAGAACAAGGGAAATATGATCTGAGGAATTTCAGCGCTAGGGGGCGTCATTGTGTTTTATTTCCCGTCATGTTACCTGTATCATCCAATCAGACACACTGTTATAACAATGTCACCAGTATCATCCAATCAGACACACTGTTATAACAAAGATGTATACAATTATTCAGGGGAGATTAAAGATACTACCTTATGCCAACTTCTCGCCTTGGTCCTAGTAATGTTGCATAGATTGCTTTTTTTATTTTATTTTTTTTATTAAAAATCAAGAATGCAATTAGGAGTACATTAATATGATTTCAAGGCTCCATTAGTCGCATATTTCAGCAGCTATTTTATATATAATACCACGTACAATCTGTTGTTAATATTTCCAAATAGCTTTATTAGAGACTCGTTAGATTGGTTGCCTGCTTTTTCGCCTATTAAATTTCAAATTTAGATTTTAGATAGAGTGGTGGATAGCATGTGATGAGAGATTAAACTAAAGCTACTTAATACACGTGCGTAATGATAAAACAAGTCTTCACTGAGGACATTTGAACTTTATCAAAACACGAGCTGAGGATTTTTAACACGAGTAAAACTTCATGATAAGTCACAGTGAACGACTCTAGTGAAACATGCAATGTAGCAACAATAGCATATGTCATGGCATTAAGGCTGATGTCTTCTTAAAAAATGCTCGCCGACATGAAAACCCGTAACAACCGAACTAAATGCTACAACAAACGAAATAACGCATTAGGTATGAATCTGTCTTTTTATATGTACAAAAGCATTAAAGAAAGATGCATGTGATTATAAATCAAGGGCTTCGTGACAAGGATGAGTGTGTGTATTTTATAGAAAGTGTCCTTTCGTATCATTTAAGGTTGTGTTGTATAGTATGTATATTTATGTAAATATGTGTTCCGAGGGCAGTCCAGGTGACTCCCGGGATGTCTCGGGAGTTGTATATGAGCAGGCAGGTAACGAAGCCTCGTTCTGGCCTCTGAGAAAACTTTGACAGACGAAGCATGAACATATACTACTAGTACGATACTTTAAGACTAGGTGATTGAGTGCATATTAAGGTGTGTGAATATAACAGTTAATTTGAAAAAGCTTAACCTGTGATAACCTGTATAGCACTTTCCGTGTACACGACGTACATAACACCAGGGGGTGCTATCCATTGACACATCATCTAAAGTTCCATTTCCATCCCACGTCACTTACCATCTTATTAAAACTCTAGTGAAATATATTACTCAGGCATTGTACTATTGCTTTCGCGGTTTCGCATGGCCACATCAAGCTTTCATTGAGACCGGTATGCCTCTCCACACCTAATTAAAGAGAAGTTAAGCTCCGTATGACTTAGTTATATCAATAATTCAGTTGAGTTGTAAAGGGGATTGACATAATGCATAATTTGTATTTAGACAACAATCTTTATTCCTTATAATTGACTTACAGTGTAGTTATCGTTATGTTCAGTTTCTTCAATTGATACCTGAATTTCGATATTTGTATTGGTTTCTTTGAATATGATTTATCCTGAGATTAAAAGTTAAGGCGACCGAACCATCATTTGGAGGCCTGTTTAACCTTTATCCTGAGGTTAACAGTTAGGGCGACCGAACCATCATTTGGAGGCCTGTTTAACCTTTATCCTGAGGTTAAAAGTTAGGGCGACCGTACCACCTTTTGGAGGCCTGTTTAACATTTATCCTGAGGTTAAAAGTTAGGGCGACCGTACCACCTCTTTGAAGCCTGTTTAACCTTTACCCATCTTGACGAACAGGAATGATCACTGATATTAATATTCTCTTTATTTTCTCCAATATGAAGATAACATAAACAGAATAGTTACAAATAAGAATTAATCAACATATATACATATTTATACATACAGGGACATTGGAGAAGTACGCATGAATCGTTATTATAATGTGTATATTGATATTTTATAATTGTAAAGGGCATCATTGCTTAATTATATAATCAAATGATTTGTAGTAATTTTTTAACATTTGATACACATGTGTTATTACCACTAATCTTAATTGTTCATAATCTTCAGATAACATATTATAATTTAATTCACTACCCAAAAGGATATTAGTAAAATCAAAATCTGGTAAATTATGCAAATGAACATGGAGTTGTATATCCAATACACTTCTTAACTAAATGGCACCATACGTTGTCTCTTACTTCTGTAGTTTTGTCACAATGTGAGATAATATGAGTAACAGTATCAAAATAGAATTTCCCACAGTAATGATATAATTCCATGAGTTTTGACATACGAGACATTACAAGTACTCTTAACATACAGTGTATAGCTTTAGAATACTGTGTATACTTTGCAGCTAATTTCCATCAGGTATGTGACTCGAGTTAGGGTGAGTGGACATAAATCGTGCGGAATCGTTGTTATTTGACATGCGTTGTAACCTGGCATTTTCTTCGGTTTTATATACATTTTTATAAACAACTTTTTCCTCCGTCTTTTTCCTGGATAGGCGAGTTTAGGAGTTTAGATAAACAAATAATAAACATACCTTCCCTATTTCGTGATAAATATTATGTCCCGACTATTTGTTGCGTGTTTTTGTTAAATATGGAGGTGTGGTGGTTTGGGGTGTTATGCGTATTATATAACTCTTACACACTCTTACACACTCTTACACGGCTAAAAATAGATTTGTTTTAAACCAATGATGACGGGGTGTGTATAGCGTTATGGGACCTACTTGATCATGTCAGGGTATCAGGCCTCTACCAGTGTACCCTAACGTTCACCTTTCATTACTCTAGCGTGGCATCTGTTTATTCGGTAAGCTGAGAGAAAAGGTTGCTTTATACAAACAAGATGTAGAATTTTAAACAGCTTATACTATACGTAATTGTCGGATACAATTTTAAACAGCTTATACTATACGTAATTGTCGGTTACGATTTTAAACAGCTTATACTACACGTAATTATCGGTTACGATTTTAAACAGCTTATACTATACGTAATTGTCGGTTACGATTTTAAACAGCTTATATTATACGTAATTGTCGGTTACGATTTTAAACAGCTTATACTATACGTAATTGTCGGTTACCATTTGCATATTCCAGATATGGCTTCATCCTGTCAGCAAACTGATCTGACCAAGGGAATGAACCGCCTGAGGCTTGACGGGAAATATAGTGACGTCACAATTAAATGTGGAGATCGATCCTTTTTTTGTCACCGAGTCGTACTGGCGGCCATGTCAGAATTTTTTGAATGCATGTTCGATAGTGAAATGCAGGTGCGTTACACGTGCATACGAAATAGTTTAATATTTCCTTAAGTTAGACTAAACACCACTGTACTTCTTATCTCCCCATTTAACCTCTGTAACCAAACTTATCTTTGCAATAGTTTTAGTGGTTTAAAAAAACCTAATATTAAAATACCGTGCGTTGTCGTTAAATACCCTACAGATTTTCAGGCAACTAAATATTACCAAAATAACTTTGTGATAAATATTATTCTGTGATAAATATTATTCTGTGATAAATATTATTCTATTAACACTTCTAAAACTGCTATTACTATGCCTACTTAACATCGCTATGTCGGTATAAACGATTAATGTTTTACTTGATTGTCTGTATTTGTCTCAAGCGCACTGCTCACCAGTCCATGTACAAATGTATTACAGTAAACTGGTCTTCAGTACTAATGGTCTAGCTAGCAAACGCATTTTGTTACACATGATAATAAATTGAGATTGTTAATCTATTATGTTTGTATACATGTATACGTCGTTAAGTCTGCGTATGTATAGCGATTTAAATATGGCAAGCTTTTTATAGAATGGAGTTGATTAATTTAAAAAATTGTTGTCAACATTTAGAAATATTCAATCATTATCGAAATCCAATCATCAAATCTATAAAGGTTATAAGCTTTGGCATTAGAGCTTAGTTCAAATTGTATTAATGACCTCCTTTTGGCAAAATGTTTTCAAGAAAGATCCGTCTTAATTCTGACCAAAATGTGTTTTCGGGTGAAACTTGATATCCAAGATGGCCACTGGTAATGTGTCGTTTTAGATAAACAAAATGTCTATGATATTCTTAATCCTATTGTTCCTTTAGAGTTTCGTAATATGTTTAAGTGGAACTCATCAATTTAAAAATATGACCAACGTGACCGCCGGTTATTTGTTATGGTACATTAACGTTTACCTGTCCGTCTTGTCGTCTATGTATATATGTGTGTGAATATCGAATATCAGGTAACCGATGTAGGTCTATTTTATCTCTTCATTTTCACTTATTTATCTTTTAGGGAAGTAGAAAATGCTTCAGTCATATGTTATGTTGTTTATTGACACATTGTCACTTATTAAAAACATCACTCTCATCAAATTATTTTTGCTTTTAGGAGTCGCAGACCGGCGAAGTTGATCTGAGCTCTTTGAACGTCTGTAACGAAGTGAATATTTGTGAGAAGGTTCTTGAGTTTATGTACACAGGAGAATCTGCTGTCGACATGCCCTCCGCAGCACACCTACTAGATAATGCACAGCTGATGCAGATACCTTCATTACAGACAGCCTGTCTAAAGTTTCTGACGACAAATCTAAACAAAACCAACTGCCTCTCCGTTTGGCAAACAGCAGCAGCTCATGGCTTTGCTGAGCTAGATGCATTAGCACTTTCACTGGTAAAGAAACACTTTCAGGAGGTCTGTTTTAGTGATGATTTTTTGGCTCTTTACAAAATAGACTACATTCTGAACATTCTGAACGGTCAGAACGTCAATTGTCCAGATACCACCGTTATTTGTAAGGCAGTTATGTCATGGATACAAGCCGATTTTGAAAATCGTTCTGATTACATAGAGAAGATCATGAGAGCTTTGCATGTCCTACCCGTGGACGTGAAGGATATCGAGGACACCGTGTCTTGTGATCAGTTTAGGGATATCTCCGACCACTCGGCGTATCGGAGAGAAGTACAATGGATGAGGGACCAACGATCCTTACTCCTCAGGCCAACAAAACAGGACGTTTTCAGTGATGAATCGATCGTTGTCATTGGTGGGTGCGAGGATGGATCCAATAAAGATATGCAATGCTTCAGTTTTCCTCAGAAAAAATGGTTCAAATTGGCGTCACTACCGTCCGATGTTGGTTTCGATTTTGCAGTCTGTTCTAGTGGTATGGACATATTTGTTTCTGGTGGCACTAACAACAAGAACGCTTTCCTACGCTACGACGGCGAGAACAACAGATGGGACAAAATGCCAGCAATGCCTTGTAGGAGACAACGCCATTGCATGGCGGTAGTTCGGAACACTTTGTACGTGCTTGGTGGATATGACACACCACAGTCGAGTCCGTACCAAAACATTGACGCGTTTAATTTGATCACAATGCAATGGGTGACTACAGGAAAGAAGCTATTTCTGGCGAATCCCGTGAGGTCAGCTTCGTGTGCGGTTCTTCGTCGAACTATTTACATAGTTGGTGGTCTGGATTCAAAAGGAGCGCTGGTCAATAGAGTGCAGTATGTTAATGTAGTAGACTGTTACTCTGGCGAGGAATTTCAGATCCTACCCATTGAACCAAACTTCCAGTACAAGGCGGTAGTAGTCGATGATAAACTTTACGTTGTATCAAAAAATGGTGACGTGTTGGACTTCTGCCCTAAAGCCAATCATCGACCGCTCATTGTAGGCAAACTATCACATTTCCCCAGGAAAGACTACGGACTTTGCGAGTTTGAAAATAACATCCTTGTGCTGGGCGGAGTAGTCAGCTTCCAACCGAGGTCAGATATGATCCAGTTCCATATCAAGAATGCATTAACAATTAGCATGCAGGAGGTGATGCCATCCCCTAGACGCCAGTTCGGTGTGTGTAAGACAACTGTCATTAGGCGTCATCTGAGTAACGTTGATGACTGATATCCTGGGCCTCATGATGTTTGTAGATATGGCGTCACCTGAGTAACGTTGATGACTGATATTCTGGGACTCATGATATTTAGATATGTCGTCATCTGAGTAACAATGATGACTGATATTCTGGGCCACATGATTTTTGTAGATATGGCGTCACCTGAGTAACGTTGATGACTAATATTCTGG